CCCCAGGCCCTTGCACTTGCCAGGCAAGCGTTTATTCTACTGAGCTGTATCCCTGGCCCCCAATTTTTTTTTTAAGTTGACTTTTTTAATCTTTTATTTATTGGGTACAGGGCCTTACTATGCAGCTCAGACTCATAGTGGTCCTCCTGTCTCACCCTCCCCAGCATTGGAATTACAGGTATGCACCATCATGCCCAGTTTCAATGATTGGCACAGTATGTGGTACCGGGGATCAAACTCAGGTCCTTGCATTTTCCAGGCAGGCACTTAGACTGCTGAGCTGTCTCCACAGCCCCTCCAGTGATTTTTTAAAAAAAGAGTAGTACAAAAAAAAGTAGTACTGAAGCCTTCAGTCTCAAAAAAAAAAAAAAAAAAAATGTGGGGGAAGCTTTTTAAAAAATTGAGGATCAGTTTAGAATCATGAATTCTGTGCCCATGTATTCCAGTGATTTTTTTTTTTTTCTTTTTCTTCCTGGTGATTTTGTGTGATATGACCTCTGCACTGATAGAGTCCTTATTATCTTATTACCTGAATACAGAGTGACTAAGGAACATGGTAGGGCTGGGACAGAGCTGAGCAATGAACTGCTTGGGTAGCATGCATGAAGCCCTGAGTTTAATCCCTACTACCACAAAACAAAAACACAGTAGGTCTGCTTCTCAGAAATTTGTTTATATAAAATGAGATAGAAAGTAATAATTTGCTAAGTTGAGTACTTGTGTTTTCTTACTTGGTCCTAAAAGTACTTGACAGTATTTGAAATCCGTGCTTATGCTATTCAGTGCTTGCTCCATTTGCTGGCAGTTAAGGTACTACATTACTCTGTGAGCAGGAGAGAGAGAGTTCACATTCATTTGTAGTTTAATAATTATCTGATTAATCTGTTCAACCAAGTAGATTGCAAAGGAGAAGCTTTCAGAAGCAAGAGGAGGACATGGGTAGGCTAAAATGAGCCTCCCTAAGTATTCCTGGTCAGGAAACACCTGAGTGATGACCCTGTGCAACTATTTCTCCACAGTTCCAGGACCATCCGCAGCCCTAACGACGATGCAGCTCTTCTCGAAACAAAACCCTTCGAGACAAGAGGTTACTAAACTCCAGCAGCAGGTTAAGACCAACGGTGCTGGAGTGACTGTTCTCAGGCGGGAAATTTCTGAGCTTCGCACCAAAGTGCAGGAACAGCAAAAACAGCTTCAAGACCAAGACCAGAAACTGCTAGAACAGACCCAGATTATAGGTGAACAGAATGCGCGGTTGGCAGAGCTGGAGCGCAAACTCCGGGAGGTCATGGAGAGCGCGGTAGGAAGCTCCTCGGGGGCGAGGCAGAGTGAGGAGTCTCCTCGGAAGCGGAGAAAGGCCACAGAAGCCATAGACTCGCTTAGAAAATCTAAGCGGCTTCGAAATCAAAAGTAGGTTGGAGACTGGGCCTTGCTCCAGAGGAAGGTGTGGCTCGGCCTAGCAGGATCCTGGGAACAGTGCTGTGTCAGGGCCCTCTAGGCTTCCAGAATACAACTTCAGCCTGAACTCACAGTTGGGACATTCACCCCCTGCTTCTCCTTGTGGAACTACGCACAGAGTTTTTACTTTGCAATAGATTTGTACTAACCGGACCTGCTCTATCATGTTTGGGGAGTTGACTTTTTTCTGTGCAGATAATCTCTCTTTGTTTCAGCATATGTGCACATTACCTAGGATCTTAAGCAAACCAGTCCTGACAGACTAGAAGTTGTTTCATAAAGAAAATGTCCTGTTCACTTGAAAGGAAAAAAAAAACCTACTTTTTAAATGGACACTATCAGGGTTAAAAAAAAAAAAAAAAAAAAAAAAGTTGACTTTTTGTTATAAGTGACCTTTGTCTGGAATGTCTGAAAAGTAGTTAAGCTTTTTGGTATCGATGTAATGGGTAACTGAAAGGACTTGCATAGTGTTGACTGTAGAAGGAGCCTCTACAGTATTGACTATATATTTTTATAAACTACTGGCAAGGGACAGATCCAGTTGGTGTCCACGTTTTCAGTTCTCTGGGGCCATGTCCTACATTCGCATGGATGGATGCATGCACGCCTAGTCAGCCCACTTAAAAGCTCTTGCACTGGCACTGATCTTGAACCTCTACTTCTCCACTTAGCATCTCATTGATTTAAACGCTTTATATCTTCCACCTCAACTGCTTGCCTCCAGGGGAGAGTTGTTAGTCCATTTGTCCTCCAGTTTTATAGGAACAAAAGACTATTAAAGCTGTTGCTTTCTCTGTCCTCTGTAGGGCTCAGGTACACTGGCTGTGGTCAGACCCAGGTCCAAGGCCCTTTCTGTTAAGACCAGGCCTCTGGGAGCTAGTACTGGTCTAACTCCTTACTGCGCCTGATGGTCAAATGTGGGACCCAGCTAGTAGGTTTAGTTTTGCCACTGAAGGAAAATTCACTGAAGAAAATGGTGCCATGAAAAAGCAATTAGATCACTTCATTGTTAGGAGCTGACCTGAGGGAAGCTTTTTAATTTTAATTTTAGGCTTTCCTTGTCCTAACTTTATACAGAAGCTTTAATTTTGTTTGCACTCCTATTTTGAGCTTGTAACTGGAAAAGCATGTCTTGCACTGTTCACCCTTCCAAGTGGTCACTTTAACAACCTCCAAATGTGTACAGTGGTTCTCTTCCTGAGCTGTATACTTTTGAGACATTCAGTTATCACTGTCCTAGTTTTATTTTAATGTACTAAATTATAGTTATTTGACTGTTCTTTTAAACTGTTGCCTTGGGCTTCCATTATTTAAAGTAAATGTAGGTGTAATAGAGAAAACTCTCCCTTTCCAGGTGGGAGTTTGACACCTGTGTAAAACCCAAGGTTTTGGTAAGTACCTTAGTTGAATAAAAGCACAAGGTTATCCACTCCTGTATCCGTCCAGCATGACATGGTTACTCCTATTTTAGGTTAAGTTACCAAATGAAACTTCTTCCTGTCCATTTTTCATATTGTCCTTTTATGATTTTTATCCTCAGATTTTGATCAGTTCTATGTCTTCACTTTTAAACTCCATTTACATACAATGTAGTATGTTTTCAGTGAAAAACCCTAAAATAACGTCCAGGTGTTTCATGGTTTGTTGGGAAGGTAATTTTAAAATAAAGTTTCCTAAAACATTTGTCAGCCAAGGTTATCTGTAAAAGTCCCTGTCTGGAACACATTTTCTCAGCAGGTCTTACTCTTGCAATCCTAGGATTTAGCCATATTACCAGAACTTCGGAGGCGGCCTACTGGCAAACTCATGGCCTTTAGTAGTTGTCTTTCTGCTAACAGGAAGACTTTTTGAAGCAGCCCAGTGCAGGTTTACAAAGTATGATCCTTAAGCATCAAAGAGGAATAGCCTCAAATTATTTCTGCAGTAGTTGAAATAAATTGTTAAAAAAGTTTTCTGAATTTCTTTTAAAACTCTGTCTGGTTAGCCTAACTGTATCTGTAGTTTTGCATTGGTAACGTGAGTGTATGACTCTCACAGTGACCGTCCATAGTATTAGAAAGTAAATTTTCTGTTCTTCAGACCAGATTTCTGCAGCACAGTCTTGAGTTGCACTTGCCAGTGTGCGAATATCCCATGTGCAGGAAAACCAAACACTACAGTTGAAGTGTCAGACTAGCTAAACTACTGTGGGTTGTTGCCTGCACTTCCTTGAGCCAGCTGTTAGGGTAGCTATTGCACCTGCTCTGGGGTAGTGTGTGGATACTGAGGGTTCTGAAGGTCGCACTTCATTTTCAGCAGCTAAAACAGATAATATTACATTGCTTTGGAATCTAGCTTTGTAGGAGATCACTCTGAATTTTCTGTTGGTCATCTAAATGCTGTGTGTTGTTAGTAGCACAACATTTCATAAAGTATTTCCATCACCTTGACTGCTTTTCAGAGACTGTTTTACTGTGTCATACCCACCTAACTGAATTCTGGTACCACCCCAGGATGTGTACAAATGTGAAAAGATGAGCGCGGGGTGTGGAAAGGACTGCCCCCGAACCGCTCCCCTGCCTCAGCCCTCACGTCCCGAGGCCACGGTCTGGTGTCCTGACTGTTTTGCCACTGGGAGCCTGGAAGTAGGGGCAGATGTGGGTGCGTGCAGAGCAGTCCTGCTGTTCCCAAGCCTGTCAGTGCCATCAGGTCTAAAGCCACTGGTTTTGGAAGTAATTTTTTGTAAAACATGTTTTGGAGTACTGAACTTCACAGGGGATTGCCTTAATCTCTATGTAGTAGTTTCAAGATGTATGCGCATTATTCTACATGTTGAAATTTTAGAATATTCTATGTAGCCCCAAATGTGGGTAAAACAGTATAAATAATGCTTAAATAAATAAGCAAAAAGGTGTCACTACAGCTGGATTTTGAGAGAAGACATAATAGGCTATGCTTCATAACAATAATGGCACCTTGGTATTGCACTATTTTTTGCATTATTTTATATGCCATTTCATAGCCTGCACTTTAATCTCCAAAGAAACGATGTATGATGACCCAGTTGTTATTATTAATAAACTTTTTCCTAGACAGGGCACTTAGTTCTATTTTATTGTACTGGATAAGTTTCTCAGAGGTGGATTCCTTTTTTTGAGTTCTGTTTCCTTAGCCATAAAGTTTTTGAGGATCTAGGAGCTCCCTCTCATCTTTCCAGCAGTATAGAATTGTAACGTAATGCAGTGGAAGCCTCAACCTTGGTGATCAGCACATCCTTGGGTCCTCTCTGCAGTGAGTACCAGCTGATCACACAGATCAGATCTGCAGTAGACCCTGTAGTGAGTTTCAAACGTAAGAGGCATCTGGAAACATCCTGTGGCCGCAGGTGCTGGGAGAAGGCTGGTCTATGGGAAACCTGGTGTGGCGTGCTGTCCAGTTCTTTGGCTTGGGATCTGAGTTTCTTTAACTGGTACGTGCAAGGCCAGCAGCCTGCCACCTGCAGTGGATTATTTCCAGAAACGACTGCACCTACAGAGGAAAGAGTGTACCAGGTTGGCCAGTCCTGCTGTGATCTCACCTGGAGTAGTGACAGTTCTGTGTCAGGCTTGAGTCTCGCCTCTTACAACTTCCTGGTTCAAATCCTGAAGTTCAGAAGTTACACAGCTTTGTCCTGCTGTATCTGAAGAACACAATGAGAGTTAGAATCTTAATGGTAATCTCCATATCAGATCTGTAGCGAAGCCCGCAGACCATTCTTGCGCCACCAACAGGTGAGATGTGTGTAGCACTCCTTGCTGTGCCGCAGTCTGTCTATGCTCACAAGCAACAATAAAGCACTAGTTTACCTTCTGGAATTTTAATTGTTTCAACGATCGATTGGACAATGAAAAGCACCTCCGGGTCCCATAACAGGGTACATAAATAAATGTGTTGCTACCAGTGCCGCCTGTTTTCTTTGTATTTTATGCACTTACCCAGGGTTTGGGCCCTGCTGCTGCCTGGGCCCTCTGGGGCTCCGCCCCTTTTGGCATCACGCTGCGCTTCTCCTCAGGTCCTGAAAGCCACCTCAGCAAGAGTGCTGGGCGCGCAGCACAGGGCAGCTGACCCAGCCCTGCCTCTGCCTCTGAGGCTCTGTGCTTCTCGACACAACGTGTTCTAACCCCTAGTGAAAATTGCATTTAGCACACCTTCCCACTAAGATGTGTCCCCAGCCCCTTTTTAAATAATTTTTAATTTTGAAACAAGGTCTTGTGAGTAAATTGCCCAGGCTGCACTTGAACTTGTAGTTGTCCTGCATCAGCCTCCCAGAGTGCTGGGATCACAGGCACTGGGCTCCACATCTCCTTGCTACTGTGTTGTAAAGCAGCCAGGGGCAGTAAAATGCCATGCTTCTGTGTAGGGACCTTTGGTGCATCCCCTCAAGGTAGGCAGTGCCAGAGTCAGGCTGAGGGAGACATGACACCGGATCAAAATACAGCTGGGCTATGGCAAGCAAACTTGCTCCTGAAGGTTTTGGGGAGAGGGCGCAGCCTCCTGGCATGCATGTAGAGACTTGTCAGGGCTTCTTGGTCGGAGCCTGAGTTCTGAGATCTGGAGTCACCTGACTCCAGCTGCTGCTGTCAGTAGCATTGGCGGGGCCTGATTCTTCGGCTCTGCCAGGGAAAAACCTAGTTCTCTTCAAAACTGCTTGCTCCAAGACTAAATGCTAGAATTTTCACGGGAATAAAAGACAAATCAATGTCACCCACTTCTTACCAGTATCTGTAACCCAGGGAAGTGCTGACTGCAAAGTTCTCAGAGGAAGCAAACTGCTCTCTAGTTAAGTGCTGGCTGCACCCGCTCCATCCTCCCTTCTGTAGGGAAAGCTGAGCAGTCCCAAAGGCCAAAGCACAGCCAGCCTGCACGCTAGGACTGCTTGGAGACTTGGGCTGCATAAGGTAGGTTGTGCAAATCCTGGATTTCCATATTCTCTAGCTTACTCAGTTACTGGGAATAGGTATATATGCTCTTAGGAAACCTAGATTTTTACCACTGTACTTGCTTTTAAAAAAAAAGTCAGTGCTCAGGGTGCAGGCATGAGGCCCCAGCATCTGTCCCTAGCAAAATCTCTGTGAGCCTCCTGGAGGTAATCCATGGAACAAGTCACAATGAAAGACAATGATCTTGGGGCTGGGGATTTGGCTCAGCGGTAGAATGCTTACCTAGCAAGCTGGAAGCCCTGGGTTTGGTCCTTGGCATCAAAAACAAAAAATAAACCTCCCCTAAAAAAAATTCAACCAAAGAAAAAACAGTAAAATAAAAGATGATGATCTCTACTGCAGAGCCTGTCCTGGTGTGCGGCTGTGTGCCCCCAGGTTTGGGGTGAGTCGCATCCAGAGAACAACTGCGAGGAGTGGAGCCGGGTGCTGAGCGTCAGAACAGAAGTACAGACGAGGTCTAGACAGGAAATCAAGGAAGAACTCCCCGAAGTCAAGAGATCTTATTTATACAACAACCAACTGAGTAAGTCTCAACTTTTCCTAATCCTAGCCCTAACCTGTTTCCTGGAACAACAGGCAGGGGTTCTTTGTTTGTTTGAGGCAGTTTTTAATGAACTGGTTTGTTAAGAGTGTAAAACTGCTCTTTCTGTCAGCCAGCCGAGATGCCAAAAGGGAAGAAGGCCAAGGGCAAGAAGGTGGCCCCGGCCCTGCTGTCGTGAAGAAGCAGGAGGCCAAGAAGGTGGTAAATCCCCTGTCCGAGAAGAGGCCAAAGAATTTTGGCATTGGACAGGACATCCAGCCCACGAGAGACCTCACCCGCTTTGTCAAATGGCCCCGCCACATCCGGCTGCAGCGACAGCAGGCCGTCCTGTACAAACGGCTGAAGGTGCCCCCTGCGATTAACCAGTTCACCCAGGCCTTGGACCGCCCAACAGCTACCCAGCTGCTTAAGCTCGCCCACAAGTACAGACCAGAGACCAAGCAAAAGAAGAAGCAGAGGCTATTGGCGTAGGCAGAGAAGAAAGCTGCTGGCAAAGGGGATGTCCCCACTAAGAGGCCACCAGTCCTCAGAGCAGGTGTCAACACTGTCACCACTCTGGTAGAGAACAAGAAGGCTCAGCTCGTGGTGATTGCACATGACGTGGACCCCATCGAGCTGGTCATGTTCCTGCCTGCCCTGTGTCGCAAGATGGGGGTCCCTTATTGCATCATCAAGGGGAGGGCCAGGCTGGGGCGTCTGGTCCACAGGAAGACCTGTACCACTGTCGCCTTCACACAAGTCAACTCGGAGGACAAAGGCGCTCTGGCTGAGCTGCTGGAGGCCATCAGGACCAACTACAATGACAGATACGATGAGATCCGCCGTCACCGGGGAGGCAACGTTCTGGGTCCAAAATCTGTGGCTCGTATTGCCAAGCTGGAGAAAACAAAGGCTAACGAGCTTGCCACTAAACTGGGCTAAGCGTACTCTTGAGTTTTCTGTACATAAAAACAATAAATTGTCCTTAATCCAGTGTAAAAAAAACAAAAAGTGTAAAACTGGCTCTGGGGCTGAGAGACCTAAAGTGCCCCCTGAGTTGCGCAGAGGGAGCCCCCAGGCCAACCCTGGCGGGGGCATCTGCTGGTGCTTCCACCTAGCACACCGTTCTGTGGCCTGATGTGGCCTTAGCCTCTGCGCCCTGCAGAGTGGAGGTGAGAAGCGGTTCAGGCAGCCTTGTGGGAGGACAGCGAGGGCTGGACTCAGGACTCAGTGCGGTGCCCCTACAAGGTGGGCGCTGGCCCACAGTGGTGCTGTGTGGAGAACAGCGCGTGGAGTGACGTAAACAAGCCTCTCTGGAGGAGCTGCACATCTCACGGCGCCCAAACCCTACAGACTAGCGGCTGCCTCCATTGGCGGAATCCCTGCGCGGCACTTAGGCACCGTGCACGCGTGTGCGCACGAGCGTCCCGCAGGCTTTCTAGCTTTCTGGGAACTTGTACTTTCAGCTCATCCTAGCTTTCTCCTTTCAATCTTAGACACAAGGGGACCAATTTGGAGATCTGCGTTAGAGAACTCCCTTTCATCCCAGGAGTAAGTGACTTGCTTGAGGCCACACTGTGGCCGTCCCTTGACCCTCGGCAGCTCCTCCTGAGCTGGGTTGGGCAGCCAGGCCAGGCCACGCCCTCCCCTGGGTTTCGGGTGGAACTGCACTGGCTCGCAGGTCTGTCACCAGGTTGTTTAGCTCGCGTCTCTGGCTTGGTAGCATCACAGAGCTGTTGATACAACTAAAGAACTCGGAAGCCACGGGCAAATCCCTCGTTCCACCGGTCCCTCTCCTGGTGTGTCCCTCACCAGAGGCCTGAGTCACCAAAGAACAAGTTACAGCTGGAAAGGAAATAGAAATCATGGAAGAATTCCCCCAAATTTCAATAAATCCCATTTATATAACACAATCAACTGTATAGGTCTCAGCTTTCCCCAATCCTACCCTTAACCCTTTTGCTTGGACTGAACAGTTGGTAGGAAGAGCCCTGAATCCCACAGCCCAGTCGGACCCAAATCTGCATTTTCACTAGCTCACCGGCCAGTTGGATTGTAGTAACCCCCGGAGCGCTGCAGCAGGATGCAGGTGCCGGCTCCACACTGAGTGGTGCACAGCTCTCAGCGCCCTGGGCCGCAGCGACCACAGGGAAGGAGGGAGGGTGGGCCTCAGGAGGGAGAAGTCAGCAGGACTGCAGGTGTGCCCGTCCCGAAGCAGAACCCTGTGCAGCTCTCACATGAAAGCCTTTATGTGCTAACATGGACTGATCTCCAGGAACACTAAGGGAAATAACTAAATGTAGAATATGTTCAGTGTACGAACCATTCTGAAAAATTAGGAACCCATCCAGTTGTGTCCTACATAAAGAAGTTGGAAGGGCTCTGGAGGCCTACATGGTTAGGTGTGGGGCTGGTACCATGACTGGGAGTGGAGTTCAGAGGAACTCGTTGCTGGGTGCTTTTTGTATGTCTTTCTAATTTTGAACCGTGGCGATTATATGTCCCAAATCCAAGTGACCTCAGTAGTATTGGTCCCCTCCTTCCATGTTGAGCTGACCTTCAGGTGACCCTCCCCAGTGAAAGTGTCCTTGTGAAAGAGGTGGCGGGCAGCTCTCACGCTGTCATGTGGGTGGCA